GCCATGGGAGGGCGGCCCCGACGTGGGGGCAAAGCCAACTCCAACGGCCTGGAAACGTCCACGTGAGCAGGCTTAACCCGATCAACAGACACAGTCTCAGGCCTGCCACCAACGTCCACCACCAGGCTCTTGTCCCCGTGACGTATGACCCTGAACGGACCGTCGTACGGGGGGCGCAGGGGGCTGCGGTGGGCGTCGTGGCGAATAAAAACGAAATCCGCCGACCGTAATCCGGGGGACACCCAGAAAGCTGGGCTGCTGTGCTGCGACGTTGGGACGGGCGCGAATGTCCCGGCGGCCTCCAGCAGGGAGGAGCGCTGCCCGGCCGCAGACCAGGGCACAGTGGCGGTGGGAATGAATTCCCCGGGGACCCGTAGCGTCTGGCCGTAAACGAGCTCCGCCGACGAGGACTGCAGGTCCTCTTTGGGGGCACACCTGAGGCCGAGCATAACCCATGGGAGCTTATCCACCCAGTTGCCGTCTGTCAAGCCGGCACGCAGCGACGCCTTCATGGACCGGTGAAACCGCTCACACAATCCGTTAGCCTGGGGGTGATAAGCGGTGGTGCGGTGCAGCTTGACCCCCAAACCCACAGCAACAGCGTTCCACAGCTCCGAGGTGAACTGAGGACCGCGGTCAGAGGAGAGGTCAGACGGGGTCCCGAAACACGCCACCCACGTGCCGATGAAAGCGCGGGCGACGTCGGAAGCTGACGTCGAGGTGAGGGGAACGGCCTCGGGCCAGCGGGTCGTCCTGTCCACCATCGTAAACAGGTATGTGAAACCGTGAGAGGGGGGAAGCGGACCTACGAGGTCGACATTGACATGGTCAAACCTCCTCTCAGGAACCGCAAAAAGTTCAAAAGGGGCCCTAGTATGGCGGTGGACTTTGGCCCGTTGACAGGCCACGCATGAGTCGACCCAGGACCTCACGTCCTTCTTAAGCCCCTGCCACACGAACTTCTGCGACAACAACCTCACGGACGGCTTCCTACCGGGGTGGGAAAGATTGTGAACCGCCTCAAAAACGGGTCGGCGCCATTCCGCAGGGACCAGCGGCCGAGGCTGGCCCGTGGAGACGTCACACCACAGCTTCGCGCCTGAGTCACCGACCGTGACCTCCTCCAGGCGTAATCCCGTGACCGAGGCCTTGAGGGTTTGGACCCCGTGGTCAGAGGCCTGGTCAGCGCCCATGCGGAGGTAATCGAGGCCCAGCTGCACAGCTCCGACAACCGCTCTGGAGAGGCAGTCCGCGACCACGTTAGCCTTGCCAGCGATGTGTCGAATGTCCGTGGTGTACTCGGAGATGTACGAAAGCTGGCGTTGCTGTCGGGCGGACCACGGCTCGGCCACCTTGGACATGCAGAAGGTAAGCGGCTTGTGATCCACGAACGCCGCAAACTCCCGGCCTTCCAGCAGGAAACGGAAGTGACGAACCGCCAAATAGAGACCAAGGAATTCCCTGTCGAAAGCGCTGTACTTGCGCTCCCTGGGAGTCAACTGGCGGCTGAAAAAGGCGAGCGGTTGCCAGGCGCCGTCGACCCATTGTTCATGCACCGCGCCCACCGCGTAGTCAGACGCGTCGGTGGTGATAGCGATGGGGGCCCCGTGCGACGGGTGAGCCAACATCGCGGCTTCGCTCAGGGCGGCTTTGGTGGCGTCGAAAGCAACCTCCCTCTCAGCCGTCCAGTCTATGGCCTGGCCGGGGGACTTGTCCTTGAGGGCCTCGTACAGCGGGCGCATCGTGTGGGCCGCCCGGCGGATAAACCGGTGATAAAACGTCACCATCCCGAGGAACTCCCGGAGCGCCCGAGCTGTAGGCGGTCGTGGAAAGGCGGACACGGCCTCCACTTTTGACGGGAAGGGGGGCGACCCCACCCTTGTTGATGAGGTGCCCGAGGAACTGGATGGAGGACAACCCGAACTGACACTTCGCCGGGTTGATAATCAGGCCGTGTTGGTCGAGCCTTGCGAAAAGGACCCGGAGATGTGCCTGGTGCTCTTCGGAGGAGGAGCTGGCGACCAGGATGTCGTCTAAATAGACGAAGATGAATGGCATGTCTCTGAGTGCCGAATCCATCAGCCGCTGAAAGGACTGAGCAGCGTTCTTAAGTCCAAAAGGCATACGCAGGAACTCGAAAAGCCCGAACGGCGTAATCACAGCAGTTTTGGGGACGTCCGAGGGGTGCACCGGAACCTGGTGGTAGCCCCGCACCAGATCCACCTTGGAGAAGACCAGCTTGCCCGCCAGGTGAGCAGAGAAATCCTGGATGTGAGGGACCGGGTAGCGGTCTGGCGTAGTGGCGTCGTTAAGGCGGCGGTAGTCGCCACACGGTCGCCAGCCACCGGCTGCTTTAGGGACCATGTGAAGCGGCGAAGCCCAAGGGCTGCCTGAGCGGCGGATGATGCCCAGACGCTCCATGTTGACGAACTCCGACTTGGCGACTGCCAGCATGTCAGGGTTGAGCCGCCAGGCCCTAGCGTATACTGGAGGGCCCACAGTGTCAATGTGGTGCTCTACCCCGTGCTTGGCGGTGGCAGCGGAAAAGGTGGGCTGCGTCAAGTCGGGAAACTCACTGAGAAGGTGCTGAAACTTGTCACCCTGTGAGAGTGAGCTGGAGAGCCCGCTGAATGACGCCTCGCCGCGGGTACATGTGAACGAGGCAAATGTCATTGCGTCCACCAGGCGGTTGTTCTTGACGTCCACCAGCAGCCCGTGAGCGCACAGGAAGGAGATGTCAGCCGTGACGAAATCCCACCTAAACCGCTGACCCTCGAAGCACAGGTCCACTGTCTTTGTGCCATAGGTGCGAATAGGGGTGTCGTTAGCGGATGTCAAAGGTGGGCCGTGACCCCCACCGGCGGCGTCCTCCACGGTAGCCGGCAGGACGCTCCGCTGGGCTCCTGTGTCACAAAGGAGTCTGCAACCAGAGAGGGTGTCCCTGATGAACAGGAGCCGGTTGGACGTGCCCACGCTCGCGGCCACTACCGAGCGCAGGCCTTGGCGTTTCCCGTTACCTTGTAGGTGCAGGGGGGACGGCACATCTTCGCTTTCGCCCCGTAGCGTGCATGGTAATAGCACAGGCCAGGGCTGGAGTCGCTGACGTCGGCCCTGGAGCTCCTGCTAGGTGGCATGCCTGTACCCGGGAAGGCGCCGCTGTGTGTCGGGGCCAGCACCTCAGGGGTAAAACGCTGGGTTGCCAGGAAGAACCGGTCAGCCTCCTCGGCCAAAGCGCGGGGCTCGGTAATAGCCGTATTAGCGAGTGCTGTCTGCACATGCGGCGGCATGTGCCGAAGAAACAGTTCGATAAACAAAAAATTAGGCTCCTCCGTACCCAGCAGGCTGAGCATCATCTCCATATGGTCTGAAGGCCTGTTGTCCCCCAGGCCACGAATAGCGAGCAGGCGTCGGGCCCGCTCCGACCGTGACAGCTCGAACGTCTTCAGCAGGAAAGCCTTGAACGCTGCATATTTATCCAGGGCAGGGGGAGATGTGATAAAACCCACCGTCCGGGTCGCAGTGGAGCTCCCCAGCGCCGAAACGACGTGAAAATAGCGCGCTGCGTCATCAGCAACTCCGCGGAGGGCGAATTGAGCCTCCGCCTGAGCGAACCATGCAGCTGCAGCTGTCTCCCAAAACTCCGGCAGTTTGAAAAAAACGGCGTTATTTCCCATGTTCTGAACAGTCTCGGAATCTTCAACGAGACTAACGTCGGGGTCACCAATGTGGTGCCGAGAGACGGGAGTCGGAGGCGGTGTATCGAATGAACAAGCTAGACCTTTATTTTGCATCTGAACTTCATGTCAACAACAACATGCACGAGGAGAAGAATACCGGCGGAAACACTGAGTCCGCCTCACTCAAATGTCCGTGCGGAACAATACAGTACAGTAGATCTGTGGGTGGATAATGTCAATCACCACAGCGGTATGTTTTGACTGGCACTAACAGCACTAACGGCACAACGGTTGAGGAGTGAAGATCAGTTGAGCGTTTCTGTGACTCCGCCCAGCGGCTGCTCTTCTGAGAGGCACCGCTCTGACAGCTCTGTCTACTGGGAAACGCGCTAAAAGTCCTTCTGGAGGTAAGCAACACTACACAATTTCACCAAGTCTGAGAGTAAAAGCTTTCTCGAAGGTTCGTTTTGCTTTCTTACAACGTTACGTTAATGTTAACGTAACCTTACGTTTGCTAGGAGGCTAGCTGTCTTAGCTAACAACAGTTAGCAGCTAACGTTTTATGCAGTTTTTGTTTCCCCTGAAAAACGTGATGTAGTTATTTAAGGGTAAGTTAACTTAACGTTATCTTACAAGTTGAGAGAGTTACGTTTTGTTTAAAATCGTCAATGTAATGCCATTAGAGGTTTTGTGTTGAACATGAAGTTAGCTAACTGTAGCTCTCTACCAAAGGTTAGCATGTTAAGCTGTACTTTGTGTGGCAGCTCGCTTAATACAAAGAGGGCTTTTGTGCTTCATTGTAAACTTTTCTTACAAATGTGTGTTCATCTATCTGACATTGTAGGGACAGTTTTTTTCTACTCAATGATACAGACCATTGTTGAGGAGATGCAAAACATACTGTAAATGAGTTGGGTCTGACATATACTTTGAGTAATGTTACTTTGCTGCTAAAAAATGAAACATTATCAGAAGAGGATATCACCAAAGTGTGTGATTCTGTCGGGGGATTTGATCTGTTCTCTGCATGTCGTACAGGGCCTATGTACACACTGCTCTGGTATTAATGAAAAATGTAATTGTAAAATGTAAGTCTCCCGCTCTTGTCATCGTTCAGGCTTTGCATTTGAACTCCTATGACTGGTTGCGGACTTGAAGGGAATAACTTCCTGGCCTTCCTAACATCCAGGAAAAAGGTGAGATTCTAATCCATTTCAATGCCAAAAGCAAGTTATTGTTTTTAACTTTTTTAATATGATTTTTTGGGGAATTTCAGTTTGATTGGACAGTAGAGATCTAATGGAAACAGTGGAGAGGGAGGAGAAAGGCCGAGCCGGATGGTTGCTGCTCCATGTGGAACGTGTTCTATCAGGTAAAGCACTTTGGTACCCAGTTATTTATGGTATTGAGTTTGAATTTAGCCTTTGGAAGGTATTTTCCAACAGTGCATTGTAAAGACTGAAAAAACAGGCTCAGGTTAAAGCTTGACATGATTTGGTCTTTTACTTAAAGGTGGGGTAGGTAATTTTGGAGAAACCAGCTCGAGTGCGCTAGAATTAGAAAATACACAACCGGAAAAAATCTGCCACTGCAGAGCCCCTCCTCCAACACACACGAACGCGCACATGACCAATGAGGGCACGAGTTAAGTTTGTGCACAGATGGAAGGCTGACAGGCAGGTAGGCCATCCAGTTACTTTAGCCGGGCCGGCTAAAATGATTGGTCGTGCTTTTTACAGTACTACGGCTTCCACAGATGACATTTTTTTATGGATTTTTTGTCAAAGCACTTAAGATATTCATTGCTATCGGGATGTTAAGAGCATTCAATGGAATATAACAAAAAGTGTATCTCGAGCCGGTTTCTCAAACTTACCTACCCCACCTTTAAGAGGATGTTTGTACTCCTGTCTTCTTTTATTTCCTTATATTTCTTTCAGGTGTAACATCTACCAATGTTTGTACATAGACCTCCTCCACCTCTTTGCTGTCCTACTAGTCAACCCTCCTGCTCAGAGCCTTTCCTAAATAGTGGTAAGTTGTTTTACAGTTCAGTGTACGTTAATTTAGCAACTTAATGCGTTAGTGCTGTTCAATAAACCCTATATATATACATCCATCAGCAATCAATAAAACAAATCATCCAACACAAAATAGAAGAAATCTATTTATTTTTATACAACAGCATTGGGACTGCGCATTGATGTCATCAAGAGCCATTGAGTCTACCTTTTGTAGTCGGCCTCTCAGAATGTTTATAATTTCTTTGTCTCTTAACATTCCTATAATCAGTGGCGGCCGGTGGTCTTTTTTTTTTGTGGGGCTCTTGACGTACCGTAAGTGACCTGTCCGGGGGGTCCGGGGGGTTTCCCCCCGCAAATTTTTTCGAGAAATGACCCCTTAAATGATGACTTCTGGTGATGTTAGAGGGTGGGGGAAAGGAGAAATCGAGGCTTAAAAATATGAGAAGACTGATCAATACCTCCATAATCTTCAGTGTGGAAAATATTATTTATCAACCTGAACATCTACTACTTTACCAGGAATTTGTGTTCTCAGAACTGGTCTGTTTTTTTCTTTCTTAAAACTGTTCATGTTTTATGAACCAACACCTTCACCAAGTAGCTTTACAGTGAACTGCATGTGAGATATAAAATTAATAGCATCTTTTCAGTAGCATTAATTATAAATATTTAAGTGGTTCAATACAAGTCACTACAGCATTTCAAACTGAACTGTGAATAAATGCAATTTAAAAAAAATAACCACAGCACAAAATGTCATAAATTGTGTTTTGTCTTTGTTTCTCTGAGGATTATTTACAAACAGGCTTATTTACATATAGCAATAACTCAGAAATGAAAAAGCTACATCGTCTAACACGAACAACCAGTTAGCATAATGATAATATATGTGTTATGTACAATGTAACTGGCAAGGCTAGAGCAAGAAAGAACATAAAGTTTGCAAAAGGTTTAAATAACTTCAAGTATCTGTCTTCAGATTACGTGGAGGTTTTAGTCCGATGGGAAGCAGATTTTAAGCGACACCGAAGATAAACCAAAAATGTGGTGGAGCTGCAAACCGTGTAGTGTTGCTGGGACAGAACAGGAGCTATAACCGTTGGAAAATACATCACAGACAATGCAACAAACGTGGAGACAGAACAATCACTTCTGTGATAAATGCCCACTTATTAATAAACTTCTAACAACCATGGGAAACCTCCTCTCTACATATAAAGTGATATCCAAGCATGGGAAACAAAAGACAGCATTTACCTGTTTGCATCCAGCTAGCCAAGCCTTTCTTGTGTACCAGCTACTAAGCCTCGTGTATAAATGTTGTCTTTTTCACGAGATTGCTGCGATATATTCAAATCGGGTTGGTCCGGTGCAAGGTCTTTAAGCAACAATTTATCTGCCAAACTTCTCCTTTCGAAAGGATTGGAGATTAGCTCTTGAACAGAATTAGCCGGGGACCGAGGTCCGGAGACTCCACCTGCACACGAAGCCATCCTCATCAACTACTGCGTCAACCGGATACGAGTCACTGTCCAAACTACTCACAGACTGCACTGGGCGCTGACATTGGCGCCCGGTGACCGTCATCTTTGACGACGCTGATTGGCTGAAATTATATTTTCGCGGCATAGTTTACACGTTACAGATAGCAACAGTCAGCTGCTGGTGGCTGCTGCTGCACTGGTTGAAGGCTCCTCTCTTAGCGCCCAGACGAGAGAAGGTGCATGGGCAAGTCCAGGCAGGAAACATGTGACTTATCAGTAACTTTAGACATCGTAACACAATTTTAAACGAGATTTTATTGTAGATTATACATTTTACTGATACCAATTATATAATATTTACCTTGTTCATTAAAAATAAAAATAAAAACATATATATTTTTTTAAACATTTTTTTTTTTTTTAATTTTAATTTTAATTATTATTATTTATTTATTTTTTCAATATGGGAAGAGGTGGGGCGGCGCCCCTAGCGCCCCTATGGACCGGCCGCCACTGCCTATAATCATTTGTTTTTTTATGTTGGTATTGTTTTGTTCTTTATTTTTGTTGGGAGAATCATTTTGCAATTGTGTAAGTGCTATATAAATAGTTATACTAATATAATTGTTGTTACCATCATTACTATTATTAAAAAAGTTTTCTTTGTTTTCTTTATTCATCGCTGCAGAAAGGATCATGCCAGCCCACATCAAACACCTGAGGCCTGTACTACGAAGCCGGATTTTCCTAACCTGGATATGTTTGAGTTAGCCGGTTGGCCCAATCCAAAACAGCTCTTTAGCTCTGGCTAAACTGTACTACGACGCTGGTTATCAAGTGGATCGCTCAAGCCAGCCGTGTCCTATCTAGTTCGGTGCGCGTTCACATGAAAGGGGTGGTATTTGGAGCATTCGACCAATCACAAACATGGACAAGCGCACTGACAGCGCAGCGTCATACTTCCTGAATGAAAAGTGAACTTTAATATTAGTCAAATATGAAGAAGTTAAACTTTAAACATCCATGACTTAAACACTTTATCCAGGATAAAAGCCACATAGCTGCACCTGCAAGGTGAATACAGCTGGTAAAAGAAAAAGCGTTTGAATGCGTACATTAACAGGTTTATGATATCACTGCCCCGTTACACGAGTGGATCTGACTTTAATTACATTTGACTCGAGTGTTTCGTCAACTTAATGTGTTGCTTAAAATAATACTTCTGCATACAGTATGTGACACTGTGAGTGTTGCACGGCCAGATACGGCTCAAGAAGCTGACTCAAATAAGGAAATATATGATACATTATGATGTGATATGATATGAATGATAATGGGACACATCGACGTCTGCACTCACAGTGCCGCGGACTGTACTTAATGTTACTCTGATCCGGTTACTTATGTTGTGGCAGATATTTAAGTAAGCTTTCTTAACGCTAATGTTATAATAGTCAGATTGCTCTGAAGATGGGAGGGGATATTCTATTAATTTTCACGTTCACACAGTCAGTTGATTTTTGCCGGCCGTCTTTCCTGCAACGGCAGTTTTTCTGTATCCTCTATCCTGTAATATGACTTGATAGCTTTAAACTCCGCACACGGAGCTCTGATTGGTCAGCAGGCGGTGCTTTCACTGAGTTGATCTCTTAGCCTGCAACCTAACCTCCTCCCGAGGAGGTTAGCCGCTCAGCATAAGTTACCATGGAGATCTAGCCCGCTAAAAAGAGAACCAGCGTTGTAGGACCGGAAAGCCCGAGTTTTCCCTGAAGTCAGCCGGCTAAGCGAAAATCCAGCTTCGTAGTACAGGCCTCTGATCAAGAACTTGTGAATCTTCAGACAGAAAAGATGAAAACACCTGTTCAAAGTTCCAGTTTCCTGTACATCGAACCATGCATGTACTCTGTTCCACATGTCTTCAGTCAGTTCTGGACCCCATGACTCGGACACTAGTTCTACCAAGACTCATTAGAGGTAAGCAGTGGTAGGAGAGTGGAGTTATCTTTGTATTTAGGCAAGTCGACAAGAATAGATTACAAATCGCTTAAAAAATTGTTCAGACACAACCTGGTCTCACCAGAATGCGTGACTACACCACGACTCCTTAACACCGCATTGCGTGGTGGAGTCACGAACTTTGCTACATTTACGTGTCTGCACCACGCAAACAACCCCAATGTAAAGTGAATGAGGCTCCTTTGTCGTGGTGCACACACGCATTTCTACAACGTCCAGCAGTGAGCTTTTATTCTATAAAACGTTTTTAAAATCTACTTTATAGCTTGTAGTAACTCACAGGAGGCTTCTTTTATTTTATTTGTATTCATAATCATTTTTATTTTTCGTCAGAATGTATTATGGTGCATTATTCACCAATGTTTGTTCTCAAAAAACAATGCATTGTGTGTAATACAACTGTGATTTTTATTAAATTAGTTCGTTTTTAAGGAAGGCCAGAGCTTCAGCTGTGTCAAAGAGATTGTTCCCTTTAGTTAACGTTATTTAAAAGATAATTATATTCCTATTTGATTAAGTCCCCTTTATTGTATTACGGACCCAAAGAGCTGAGCGTCCATTCCCATTGGATAACAGAGCATTTTACACCCGGAAGTAAGTATTCTCCTTACTGTCCATTGATTTTATTTACAGTGATATCTGCACTACTCATCAACTCAAAAACACCAGATTATCCTTGTTAATTACACAACATTGATTGGTTTAAATTGTGTGCAATGCTTTTGTATTTTCCCCTTTCGATTCGGAGAAACAAATATTTGTTCGTAGTGTGTGGATGGCAGAAGGCACTACACTACCCAGAATCCTCAGCTATAGGACTACACCATGTGCTTAGAACGTGTCCTACCCCCCCCTTAGGTCACAGGCTCCTCCAACAGTGCAACACAATAAAACAGATAGGCTACACAGAACAAATAGTGCAAGTAAATACAAAAAGAAAAATAGTAAAATAGTAAAAAGTGAAATAGTGCAATAAGAGTCTATATACAAGTGATTGGAATATGATATATTAGATAAATAATTTCTAAGTAGCAGCCAGATGAATGTTATGGATGTTGTTTCTAAGTTCAGGTGTTTAATAGTCTTATGGCCTGTGGGATGAAACTGTCCCTGAGTCTGGTGGTTTTAGTCCGGATGCTGCGGTACCGCCTGCCAGATGGCAGCAGACAGAACAGTTTGTGGGGTGATGGGGGTCTTTTATAATCCTGAGGGCTTTCTTTAAGGTTAACCTGGTATTTTTACTCCACTACATTTATTTTAGTTACTTTACAGATTTGGATTACTGATGTGAAATATAAACAACCCTTAAATCAGACTTTAGTTACACCGGAGTAAAATTCAGTGAATTCAGCCAACAATCAGGCGAGATATTTGGTAGTGGGTGCTTGAGAAGACTAAATATGTATCTGCAGATCCCTAAAGCATATTCATTACTCGTTATTCTCTACTAATAGTTCATTAAAAACTGTATATAATGGCTATTTTGCACATCCCTTTCAAGATTTCAAGATTTTCTAAGGTTTATTGACATATCATATACACAACTACGGTGTAGTTATGCAATGAATGAAACACTTGGGTCACAGGTTCATCAACAGTGCATCACAAGACATCTATCGATATCTGTGTACCTCCACCATTAAACATATTCTGCACATTTCTTATACTATCTACATACATCTTATAAGAGTATAATTAATATGTATAATATCAGTTAAAATAAGTGCTTCAACATAGTTAACATTGAAGGAAAGTTGATTGTCAAGTTCCAAAACAAACCATGCAATATATTAGACGTTAAGTACTTTGTCAGGCTTAATATCTGTAGATACCCCCAAAGCTTTTTTCTTATTTAAAAGACGACCTTAACCTAAAGTATTCTTTAATGTTTAAATAAAGCCTTATAAGTTTGTCTGTTTTGCACATCCTCCTATCAGGCACTAAACTGTTTTATTGTAGAGATCACTTACAGTATCTTCTTGATATTTTCTATTCTATATTATTTATATCATTGACCTTCCACTTTCCCACTATATTAAGAGTATGTACTCTTAATATTTAAATGTTTTCATCAAATATAACACATTCAAAAGTGCTTTACAAAAATGAAAGACATTAAGAAAAAGGCATTTTAAAACAGTCAATAAAAAGCAACCCAATCTACCTGCATTGCATTACTCTAAACGTGTAATAACGTGCTTTAACCAGTAGGAGGTGCGGGTTAAAAAGCTGTCAAGTTTACAGTGTTAACAAAATAAAATATACTGCTGTTTCTGGTTTAGTTTACGACGGATATATTCTGTTATTGTTTTGATATTTGTAACACAAAAGCGATGTAAAAAACCCACAGCAACACAGAAAAGATGGTCTTAACATGACCCAGCGGTCTAGTAGTTAATAAAAAACAATAATATCAAAACAAATTATTACTACTAACTTTATTGTGAAATTAAAATAGAACGGTAAAAGAATAGTTTCCGGTCCATTCTGAGGCCCGATCTCTGTAGATAAATAAAGAACTACGACAGATGTGTAATGTTTAATGCAGCCAAACCATTCATTACAATGCATTCATGTGATGACTTTCAAAGAGTAAAGCAAGCACTGCTGAATAAAGTATGATTTGATCTTTGACGAAACGTTTTTTTCATTGGAATGCAGTTGGAGGTCAACCAATCACAGAGCTTGAGGCAAAGCGGAACAATAGCTGAGGATTCTGGGTAGTGTAGTGTCTTCTACCATCCACACACTCCGAAAACATATTTGTTTCTCCGAATCGAAAGGGGAAAATACAAAAGCATTGTACACAATTTAAACCAATCAATGTTGTGTAATTAACAAGGATAATCTGGTGTTTTTGAGTTGATGAGTAGTGCAGATATCACTGTAAATAAAATCAATGGACAGTAAGGAGAATACTTACTTCCGGGTGTAAAATGCTCTGTTATCCAATGGGAATGGACGCTCAGCTCTTTGGGTCCGTAATACAATAAAGGGTACTTAATCAAATAGGAATATAATTATCTTTTAAATAACGTTAACTAAAGGGAACAATCTCTTTGACACAGCTGAAGCTCTGGCCTTCCTTAAAAACGAACTAATTTAATAAAAATCACAGTTGTATTACTTACAATACATTGTTTTTTGAGAACAAACATTGGTGAATAATGCACCATAATACATTCTGACGAAAAATAAAAATTATTATGAATACAAATAAAATAAAAGAAGCCTCCTGTGAGTTACTACAAGCTATACAGTAGATTTTAAAAACGTTTTATAGAATAAAAGCTCACTGCTGGACGTTGTAGAAATGCGTGTGTGCACCACGACAAAGGAGCCTCATTCACTTTACATTGGGGTTGTTTGCGTGGTGCAGACACGTAAATGTAACAAAGTTCGTGACTCCACCACGCAATGCAGTGTTAAGGAGTCGTGGTGGAGTCACGCATTCTGGTGAGATCAGGTTGTTCAGACAAGAGGCACCATGTGTTACGCAGGTGTGGCGCTGATATAGTCTATATAATATGCAGTTGAACTTTAAAATTACATTATTTCCGGTGCAGAGACAAACACTCGAGGTGGATGTATAAAGTACATACTGGTGTTAATATAATATAGCGTATATCCCTCAATTTATCGACAATAACAATGACAATACATACTTCCTGGTGGAAAGTAATATATCTATCATACTGTAGCAGG